GAGTGGGAAGAATGTAGAATCATTTACGCCAAGTGTCAGCAAGCCTCACCTCTAATCTGACTCATTTTCAAAAGGATAGTGGGGAACAAACACTCTACAGCCTAAGTAGTTACAGTCTCCTCTGCAATCTGGTACAAGATCATCACCATATGTTATGCGATTTTTGGATATGCTACAACACCAGCATACAAAACAAGAGCAACAACAAATGCTATTGCTCCGAACAACTCAAACAAACGCAACAGCGTCAGATGTAGCAGAAGCAATAGCTAATAAAACAACAGCAACGGTTGGACCAACAAGCAAAGCAGCAGCTGCCGAGGCACACGCAGAAGCATTAAAAGCCACAAAGCTCCAACCTCAGTTTATCCTACCCTACTCGATCTAGCAAGCGTGAGTGGCAGCACTTGAAGAGGAAAGACATTTGTCATTGTCTCCTTTTAACTACCACTCTATTTGGTTAAATCTTTCTCTATTCGGCCCATTACTTAAATATATGCAGCCCATTTTTCCATTTAGCTCACTCTTTATTCAGTCCATAACACATGCACATCATGCATATTAAACTCTCAATTCGACTATTTGCTTAAAACATGCATGCCATGCATGTCACTGCTCCAGCTTCAATCGAATGTTTTCAACTACAAGTCGATCACGCCGACTCAACTGCAAGTTCCATAGGAGCTCCACTTGGCATACACCTTCGGATCAGCCCTGTCCGATCCACAGATTTACACATTTGGATCGACCCTGCTCGATCCATGAATTTACACCTTTGGATCGACCTTGCTCAATCCACGGATCTATACCTTCGGATCGGCCCTACCCGATCCACGGATTTACACCTTCGGATCGACCTTACTCGATCCACAGATTTACACATTCGGATCGACCTTGCTTGATCCACAAATTTACACCTTCGGATTGACCCTGCTCAATCCACGGATCTACACCTTCGGATCGGCCTTACCCGATCCACGGATTTACACCTTCGGATCGACCCTACTTGATCCACGAATTTACACCTTCGGATTGACCCTGCTCAATCCACGGATCTACACCTTTGGATTGACCCTGCTCAATCCACGGAATTACACCTTCAAATCGACCCTGCTCGATCCACGGATTTACACCTTCGAATTGACCTGCTCAATCCACGGATCTACACTTTCGGATCGGCCCTGTCCGATCCATAGATTTACACCTTCGGATTGACCCTGCTCGATCTACGGATTTACACCATCAGATCGGCCCTATCGATCCACAGATTTACACCTTCGGATCGACCCTGCTTGATCCATGGATTTACACCTTCGATCTGCCCTGCCCGGTCCATAAAGCTACACATTCAGTCGGCTAGACCGGTTGAAGGGTTCTTACACCTCAAATCGACAAGTCATCAACCCAATCCACACAACGATCCATCCGACCTAACGAGCTGCTATCACTAATCCACTTAGTCTGCACTAATTCGATTAAATCTACTCTCTAAGCTAAATACTCTTTAACTTAGAGAGTGGGGGGCTAACTGTTAGGGCCAAAAATTGTCTTGGGCTTGACGATGCCCAATAACGAAATAAACATGTCACGGCCCAAGGCCTCAACCCAATCCTGATTGAGCCTACGCTTAAAATCACCTTGCGACCTACCCACTCTATGAGTTGGGCTATCCTATAAATTAAGCTAAACTGGGTTTCAGTTCATTAGCCTGCAACAGTCTATAAATAGGAAATCAAAGTCCTATTCTATTTCCTCTTCTACTAAGAGTCCAAATCTTACTCAAACTATTAAACTTGATTTGATAAGGTCAAGAAGTCATATCTCTTTCATGATAGGGATTATCTCCCAAAATAGGACTTTGTGTCCTACTAAGATTCCAAATCTTATTTAAACTATTAAGCTTAATCTGATAAGGTCAAGAAATCATATTTCTTTCTTAATAGGGCTATCTCCAAAAAAAGAGGACTTAATGTCCTACTAGGATTCCAACCCCCTGGGTTCACTATAAAAACAGAGGTTTGCTCTCTCATTAGGCATGCAATCTCCCATAGTCAATCTACACTACTCAAAATCATCTATTTGCTCCTAAAATTCTTGCTCCCAAGAACCCAACGCCTTCGCTGTAGTCCTAGCTTCTGACAAGACTCTTGGTAATTCTTCATCTCCTTAATTCTTATCAAATAATCTCTTTCAACTTTGCTGACTTGAGTGTCAGAGTGCCTACGGCAAACACCACCCCGGTGTTTTCTGGAAGCTTCACGCTTGCCCTTTCATGTATGCAGATCTAACGGATTGTCAGTGGCCTCAACCTCACAGGATCAGACCCTATTTTCATGACAGTAGATTTTTTGCATCTACACCAAACACATTTAATATAACGTTCTCAGTAATTTTTAACATAATTTATCTTTTTTTAATATAATATTTTTAATAATATAATATTCTCTGAAGCAAACACACATAATACGTTGCCTAATTCATAAATATTTAACCTACAAATTTACATGGTTTATCCACAGTTTTGCTAAGCACGAACTAGCCCACTTTTGTTTCGCTTTTGTTTATTGCCCAAAGCCTGTTGCACCAAACCCAGAAAAATGAATGGACCATGAATTTACAATTTTGGGCTTCCATTTTCAGTTGGGCTTGAGGAAATTAATTGATGAGTAAAGTTTTTGTTGGGAGAATATTCTTCCTTCTTACAGAATATTCCCTGTTTCTTTGACCAGTCATTGGTTTTTTTTATTTAGGAAATAAATTATTGAATTGTTTCAAGCTATTACGGTCACTCGGTCAGAGAGTCAAGTGGAATGCTGGAAAGGCGTGGACAGATCATAAACATAACAATCCATTAATTTTTATGCTATCAAATACTTTTTTTAAAATATTTTTATATGAATCTTGTAAAAGAAAACATGGGAAGTTCGTCCTAAAATAATTTCCCAATTCACAACAACTCAATTTTTAAGTATTCTATTTTCTATTTTATACAAAATATACATTTATTTTCTTATTCTCAAAATATTATTCTATATTATTCAATTTTTTTTAAACCCCTTAGATTTGTTAATTTAACTAAACACCAAAATTTTTTTTTTTTAAGAAATTGATAAAAACACCCCCCGCAACTCACATTTGTCAGATTCCGATCACTACTGTCGGAAACTGACCAGAATCTGGTTTAATGGTGCACTATCGCTGAATCTGGTCGGTAGTATACCAATCTAGCATTTTTTGATCAGATCCACTGTGGATTTGGCCGTTAATAACCAGATCTTTGGTCGTAGTTAATCATCAACGACGACCAAGATATGGCCGTCGTTGACGACCAAATGTGGCCAAATCCACCGTAGATCTAGGCAAAAAAGGCATACCGGTGCACGACCGGTCAGATCTAGCCGGTCATGCACTGATACGACAACTCCGGCCACCCTCTGGCGGTGGTGGCCAACTGTCGGTATTTAATAGGTGGGTGTGAATGTTTTTGTTAATTTTCAAAATTTTATTATAGGGGTGTTTAGTAAATAAACAAATATATGAGGTATTTTTGTTAATTTTTAAATCCTATATCGTAATAACCATACAATTTTACTTTTTTCAAAATATTATTCTAAAAAATATCAGAATAATGAACCAAGTGCACCATAACATTTTCAATTATTTTTCTCAATTTGAGAATCTAAAAGACAATAAAAATTTTGTTTATATTGCTTTCAATTTTTTTTAAACAGTAATATCAAATACAATATAATTTTTTTTTGTTAAACAGTATGTCCAAACCAGTATGCATACTCTTCAACTGATCCCTATAAGTGATTAACATATATATATATATATAACTTGATCATTTAATTTGTCACAAGTTATGTTATTTTGTGGCTACAATATATAAACTCTAACAAGTGAAGATTTAATATAATATAATATAATCTTTGTTCAGCTTAGAGAAGGTAGATCAAGATTTGCTTAATTTTCTTAATAGACTAGTCCAAAACTCCTTGTAATGCCTATTCACAAAACCACATTTAGTGAGTCATTGACACGTTATATGGTCATGTGATGTCAAAAAATTGTTCAAGCCTTGAAATTAGATTTAAATTTGCATCTCCACTTAATATTTAATCAACCCTGGAATGGTGTTTAATTATAGAGATCAATGGAAAACAAACGAACTCTAATAAAATACCCATTACTCACTTAAATTATATTAAAGGGTCCAATCCAAACCCAGTCTGGAAATAAAATTGAAAAATATTAAAGAAAAGTAAAATCTGGGGAATTAAAAAAGATTAAATATAGATCTTTGCTCCCTACTTCACTCCCATCAATTTCACTTCACTGTCAGTAAATGACTAAACAAACTAAAAATTTTGAATACCAACTCAACTCCCAACACCAACAGAATTATAAAACCATCAAAGACAGAGAGATAGCCAGATGGACACGTTTCCCATAGTAACGTGTCGAAACAGGATTGGTTGAAAGGCAGAAAAAGAAAGGGCCAGTCAAAGAAGAAGACCGGATAAGCCAAGGAATGGACGCCCGAGGTGTACAGTCAAAGCAAAATAAAACTGTCACGGTCAAATGCTTAGGCTGGCAACTTTACCTAAATTTTAATTTATTAAAAAAACAGTGGGGGTCCACCTTGGTCTTTGTATTTTATAAATTTTAAACAATAAAAAATATTCGAATGGTTAAATCGAGAAGGAGATCGTACGTATACTTTTAACTGAAACGTGTGGATGGCTCGTACCCAGTTGTTGTTGTGTGCCCGTGGGGGTTTGGTTTTGATGTGAAATTACGTGCAGGCGACCTTTCTTTTATTTGAAAAGACCAAAGTATCCTTTTTATTTTACTTGCTTTTAAAGTAAATATCCATATTTTATTTTATTATTTTTCGTGAAGTTTTTTCGTGCAAACAACTGCCCCAAAAGAAGAGAGCAGTAAGAGAAAGAAAGGCTTTGCAGCAGGTCATGGTCATGGTCATGGTCATGGCTTTTCATAATAATTTCATGTTTTTGTGACATTTCTATAAATAATTTTTTTTTTTCTCAAATTTTGAGCCCTGTTGTTAGATTAGATTAGAATTCAAAGATTGCATCATTCATTCAATCACTTAGTAGTTTGTAGTACTACTACTACACTTTTGTTCTCTGTTCATCCCTTCAGTGGTCAAGTTTCATTTCCACTATTTCTCCTGTTTGCTTTTAGAATCCTTATTGTGTTTTCCTGGTGAAGCTTCATCAAGAAGTGAAAGAAGCCTGTTTACGTGTTTCTGATGCGTGTTATTATTATGGTAATCAGTCTTTTGACCACTTAATAAAAAGCAGATGAACATTAGATTTTTGTTCAATAAAGAGACTAGCTGTAGTATAGTTTTCTTGTTCTTTGTAATGTGTCTTGAGGGTTCCTATCACTAGCTCATTTTGAGGGCTATATTTCTTTTCTTTTCCCCTCCTCCTTCGAAAGTTTGGGTTTTTTTTTTTCCCTCTTAGACGGTTGTGAAAGATGCCTATGTTTCAGGAGCCAACAAAGAGGGATGGGGTTGTGAGTGGTGATGGGCAGGTCCTAGATTTGGACACTGCTGTAAAAGATGGGGTTTTGGGTGGTGTTGATGGCGCGGTTATTGGTTGTGGTGTTGCTGAGAAATTGGATCTGAAGAAGATGATTGAAGAGCTTGATTTGGCTGAAGTACCTCCGGTGTTTATATGCCCAATCTCCCTCGAGCCAATGCAGGACCCTGTCACTCTTTCCACCGGCCAAACTTACGAGAGGTGCAACATTCTCAAATGGTTCAGTTTGGGGCGTTATACTTGCCCTACTACAATGCAAGAGCTTTGGGATGATTCTGTTACTCCTAATAATACCCTTTACCAATTGATTCACACTTGGTTCTCTCAAAAGTATTTGCTCATGAAGAAGAGATCCGAGGATGTACAAGGAAGGGCAAGTGAGCTCGTCGAGACATTGAAGAAAGTCAAGGGTCAAGCAAGAGTTCAAGCCTTGAAGGAGCTGCAACAAGTTGTGGCTGCTCATGCCACCGCTAGAAAGACAGTGGTTGATGAAGGTGGGGTTGCTGTTATCTCCTCCTTGCTAGGTCCATTTACTTCGCATGTTGTTGGTTCTGAGGTGATTGGCATTCTTGTGAATTTGACACTCGATTCTGAATCCAAAACCAACTTGATGCAGCCTGCCAAGATTTCATTAATGGTTGATATGTTGAATGAGGGGTCTATTGAGACGAAGATTAACTGTACTCGGTTGATTGGGAAATTGATGGAGGTGAATGATTTTCGTCCGGAGGTTGTGTCAAGCCATAGTCTTTTGGTAGGGTTGATAAGGCTGGTGAAAAATAAGAGGCATAGCAATGGAATTTTGCCTGGACTTAGCCTACTTAGGTCGATATGTTTTCATAAAGAAGTTAGGAGGTTGATTGTCAGCATTGCAGCCGTTCCTCAACTGGTTGATTTGTTGCCTTCTCTGGATCCTGACTGTTTGGAGTTAGCGCTTTGTATCTTGGATGAACTTTCATGTGTACCTGAGGGAAGACAGGCTTTGAAGGATTGTGCAAACACAATACCAAATATGGTGAGGCTGCTGATGAGAGTTTCGGAGAGTTGTACTCAGTATGCATTGTCAATCTTATGGTCTGTATGTAAACTTGCTCATGAGGAATGTTCAACCATTGCCGTGGATGCTGGTCTAGCTGCAAAACTTCTTCTTGTCATTCAAAGTGGTTGCGATCCTGCGTTGAAGCAAAGGTCTGCAGAGCTACTAAAGCTGTGTAGTCTAAACTATACAGATACCATTTTCATTTCCAAGTGCAAGCTCACAAGGACAATCCAATGAGTGGGAATAATATGCTTGTTGTACACTATCCTTTTGATGCTAGGGCAAGGGAGTTAAGGGACTGATGGCTTTGACATCGTGGTTGTCTCGGATCAGCTAAGAAGTGTAAATAGTGCTTGCTCTTCTGTATATTCTTAATCACTTTAGTTCCAGTTATTGATTCTTAAAAACATGGAGAAGCATATTATCCTGTGGTGGATTGACATCAATTGATCATTAGCCGATTCTAATTGTCAATGCGTTCTTAGATAAACCCCATCAAGAAGTTCTGTAAAATGTTAGATTTTGGTGGATTTGTGTTGGGGTGGGTGGGGGTATAGTTTTTGGATAAGAATACTTTGTATGGGGGAGATAATTCTGTGCAAGCAGTTCGGAGCTTACTATTGCAATTATAAGTCCAGCAATTGCTTTGTTCTCCCTAGCTCTTAGTTTCCGGGGGGGCTCCAATTTTCCTTTCTATTGTAGTGGGAGTGTTTCTTTTGAACCCCGCAAATGTAGAGGCTGGAGTGCCCTTTGGCCTCAAATTGTCAATTTAATGTACAAGGAATGAAATTAGCTACTTTATTATTATCTAATCTTGTCTTTCACTCTTCTTCTTCAGATTCTGAATTGATAAAAGTAATGTACTGGTTCATCTTGATATTCTAGTTTCAAAGATGGTAACTGTGGCGCATGGGAAAGAGAAAGCGACAAAACTTTGGTCTTTGCTTGGAAGATTTGCTAAGCAGATGCTTGAATGGTAAGACTGTCGACACCTGGAGGCATAGTGTACTTTTGTTTACCCTTTGCGGGGCTAAGTGAGGGACAAGACCTCTTGTTACCTCACCCTCAATTACTGTTTCACATGAAAAGATAGAAAAGAAAGATGAAGGGATACACTCAATCCCTCTTCAATTATTATTACTATTTATATCAGAAAGCAACTCCAATTTGTGAGGGCAGTAATTGCAGAGCAACCAATGCCCCTCTAACAGTAACAGGACCATGACCATGTGATAAACGCTGTCGATTCAACTCAAACCTTTCATCAACCAAATATTAAAGGGATTCAATTCAAATGTTGATGAAAATAGGATAAGGTTATGATATATTTGAGATTGTATGGTAGCATTTCGCTTGACACAAACACAGCATTAAATGCAATAGGTAGATTGTTTTTTACCAAGGGGGACATAAGAGGAAACAACAAGTTTTGAATATTGGTGGGCCTTCAAAGTCGCTCTACAGTGAAGACCAAATACTGGTTACACATTCATAGCTTCGGCTTCTACAGCACCTTTTTGTAACCTAGACAAATTTCTTCATTTTCAATAATATTAAATTTAACAGCAAAACAAAAGACCCCTCCTTTGAAACCTTTGCTTGTCCTTTAAAAAGGGCCCTACTTAATGTCCTCTGTGTTGGGCCAACCAAGAAAAAATTTACCTTAAGATCTTTTATTCTGAAACCAGAGATTCGTGCGATCTAACCGTAGATTTTGCATTATAATGACTGAACATGTGGGTCATAAATATTAGTTTCTCCTTTTAATGTCAGTTGAATTCCAGTATGGAGACTTTCCTTTTTCTGTCTTAAAGATACAGCTTGCAATTTCAAGTTGGTGGTGGTTCCACTAAAAATGTTTAGCTAAATAAGGGAGCTGACGAGAAGAGAAACGGGGGGTTTGGGGTATAATTATAGGCCTATTTAAGAAATATTCGAAATTATAATTGAAAATGTGGTTGTTAAATTGAGGAACAAGGGCAGTGAAAAATGATTCCATCTCAGTGCGGCCTGTTGTCGTGTAGTTTTCAGCTTTGACTAATGAAAATTGATAGTGGCATTATTTGATTGTGAACCTTCAAGAAAAAGCAAAAGCTCCTTCCTTGTGTTTCTGCTGCCTATTTTGGATGCTTTTTTATGTTTGATAACTGTAGCTAATCATGAAAATTGGAAACCCATCTTTTTTTAAAAATAAAATGTTAAATTAAGGTGGCTTTGAGGGCGATTCATGCAGTGGGACTGGGAGGTAGGCCCATTGAATGACCTTTCAGCGTCCACTTTCTAATCTTTGAAACGTGAGCCCATATTTTAACAAATAAATATCTACTAAATAATTGGATTGGAGGATTATTGCTCCCTCTTTTCTTTTTTCTTTTTTTGAGAAAAAAGAATTCAAGCAATCATCTATCTCAATTCTCAATGTTTCAAGAGTTGTGACTTGTGACAATAATGCAATGCATTTCTTTTCTTGGAACAATATTTTTTTTCTTTAATTTTAATAATTACAATTAAAAATAAAATTGTGAATGATTTAACAAGATTTGACTTGTAATTATAATGACAAAATTTGTAAAATTCAATTCAATATCATAAATATTATAATAAGTTAAATAAAATATGATGGTATTTTGGTGTTAATTTATTGGGAAAGAATGCATTAATTATTGATTAGTTTATTATGTAGACTAGAGTGATGATCTCACGAGAAACTTGTACTTACAATTCATTCTTCACACCACAGATGAGACCTTCTGAGTCTGACTATTTTACTCAATTAATATCGGATCTGCCCATCTGGGTTCGGGTCCTGTGAGATAGCAGATGAAATGAAAAAAATAATTCATGAAATTCAAGTTTCAGAGAGAGGTTGTCCTAATGAGAATCTGAATAGTTGGTGAAATTATAGATAGGATTCCAGGTTTTAAGTAGATGAAATGAGAGAATAATTCGAAAAGTTAAAGTTTAAGAGAGTGAAGATTTTTAGATACAAGATTTGTAAACAAGAAATTAATTATTTAGTCAAACAATTCATGCTAAAAGTAAAATCTAAGAATTGAAAAAGCAAAGTGAAGCAGTGATTGGTTCACGTGAGTTTGGAGATGTCTTCGGGAGTCACGTGTTCCATGATTAGCCTGTGGCCTATTTACAAATACTAATGTTATGTTTGCTCACCATCTTATTAACCATCTTATTATCTTTTATAAATATAATACATAGTATAGATATTATATGCATAATACAAGTATTATGTGTGCAATTTTAACAAAAATTGTATGATGGTTAATACAATTCATAAGTAAACATAGTATTTTTTATTTACAAATTATGAGTTAAAATGAAAGAAAGACTGCTAAATACCTCGATCAAAGTTTAATTACTATTGTAATTAATAACTGATACTACTCAACAACGAGCACTAATGGCGGTCTAAATACATTAGCATCTGGTTCTGGTCTCACATTTTACAGTAATTTTTTTGTAGGATTTTCTTATCTTCTGTCTGACACTCTAAATCCTTATATAAGTTTTACCCATCATAGCTTCATTACCACATAAGTGGAAATGGTATGCAGCTCAATGGGATTCCAACATTTGAAGCTGTTAAATACTTTTTAACTATTTAATTAATCACTCCAACCCTATGAACAACACAGAAAGGACAGTTGGAATTATTTCGGTGTCAAAATCAAAAGATATTGGTAGTTAATTATTGGTTAGTTCGGTCAAACAAATGGCCGCTTGTGACATTTTGAGGGCGCTGTCGCTATTAAGAGGCGGCTGGTCTACCCCTTTCGATCAAATCCTTTCTTTTATGTTCACTATTACACTAATGACTTTATAACAACACCAATTGATCAACCATGAAAGAAAATTATGGAGGGAGATATTTAATTAATCATGGGAGAGAGATGGTCAAAAATTCAGCACTTGACCTCGCTTTTGCAGATGTCACCTCTTAATCATCCATGGCGGCTGTTCATTAAAAAAAAAAAAAAAAAAAAGTAATGCAAAATTTGAATTTCTGTTGCTCCTCCAAACGGCTTCATCTTGCGGTCATTGGCTTTCCTCTTCTACCACCCATCACCCTTTTATCTGTGTTCTATATAAAGCAGTCTTATCAGGAATAATGTCACATTACAACAAAATCAAACTCATTGAGCGGATGTATTGTTAAACACCATTCATTTACAGGCGAAAACTCTATTACCATGGACGGTTATAATTATTCTTCTTCATCTGCATACTTACAGCGGCACTCAAGAGATACAGTAGAGGGCATGAAAGCACCAAACTCTTATCATTCATCGCTCCATGCAGTGCGTAAGGCTCCATTAAAGCCATGGAAGAAACCAATAGCACCACTGCCACCAACAAGACCAAAAGTGTACAAAGTGGATCCTGTAAACTTCCTGGACCTGGTTCAAAAGCTGACTGGTTCATCCGAATGCCAGTCTCAACGTCTCAAACGTGTGGCTCCACCTCCATTGAATGTCGCGCCAATCTCATGTTTCAGTGGAGACAATTATGCAGCTGCACCCCTGCAGCTGCTTCCTTCACCAGCAAAGACGCCATTGTCTGCTCTTTACAAGGAGTTGATGTCCGAAATGTCAGATTCGAAACCCCAAAAGATGTTGGATTGTGGGATGGAATCGAATTCACTTGGATTGAGTTTGTCACCATCTTCTCATACCTGGTGTGCTTTCCCTCTTTTGAGTCCTGGAACTCTTTCCAGTTTGGAGCAAAGCACATTTCTTTAGTTCTTTCAGAAATGTTGCATCTACTATTTTCATGTACTTTTTTCTTTTTTTAGTTTTGTTGGAAATGGTTGAACCTGATCATCAAGAACGTCAAAGCAGTTATAGTTAATATTTGTGCTGGACAACCATAGATTAAAATAACAGCTGTTCACAATTAATATCTGCTAAGGATTTATTTCGAAGCTTTGGCTTTCGATTGTTCCCTTTTCCGATATACATGTATAGTGTCCTGTAAAGTTCAAAAGATAATAAATAAGTCACATGCTAATCTACTTCTTTAGTCCTTTACAGAGTTATAGTCATGAATCGTTGGAGAATTCCATTAACAACTTTTATAATTTTTATAATTTCAAATATTGTAATTAATTTTATTCTATTAAGATTTTTTTTTGTTTAAAGACTTATTTACCCATTGCTTTTTAGTTCATGGCGTTAGAAAACGGTGGTCAGGTGAGGGTATTGAGAATATTGAAAATCTCAGGAGAGGTATACGAAGGTTTCTGTAACAGTTGGTGGTAATTTGGAGTTTCATGAAATGTTAGGTGAGGTAGGTGATAGTAAGCCATTTTATAATTGCATGTGACTGGTAGAACTGCATCGACGACTAATGTTAGTGACTTGTTCAAATGTTTAAACTATGTATCTTTCGTGAATCAGCTGTTAAAATAATAAGTAATGTCTCCTAAGTTCGAGTCCCCACAAGAGCAAGAGGAGGATCTAGCATAATCTTCCGAGTTTGAATTCATATATGCACTAATAGGGATAACCATTAAGAGGACTTACCCGACTGTTAACTTCAGGACCTTGAGGGATTAGTTGAAATGTGCATAAACTGATTCGAACACGCCCATAATAAAAAAAAATAATAATAAGTAAGTTTGGCTTATTTTCCTGCATTCTTTCCATCCTGCACAGGCGTGCGAATCTTAAAATGGCACCGGGAGATTATTGATCTCTGACATACATCACAATGCCAATTGCTCACAAATCACAGCAAATTTTGATTAGCATTTTATATTTATCAGCTCCAGGCTCACGGACGTAATATTAACTAAATGATATCCAACTTAAAGTCAACTAATTACCATATCAGGACTTAGTCAGGACTGGCCCAAGACACTAACTTAGGAAGTGTTTGTTTAAGCTTATGATTATAAACTAATTTTAGTTTATAAACATTTGAAATTTTAAGCAATTACGTGTTTGGTTAAAGTATTTATAAGTGACTGATAAGTAGTTAACGTGTTTGGTAAAATGTGGTTTATAAGTACATTTTATTATAAAATGACTAAAAAGGATACTGCATTAAACAAGAGTATACTATGAAATTTTAAAATTAAATAAGGATAATGTGATAATATACCTAGTCAAACTAGCTTATAAAAAAAAAAAAAAAAAAGTACTTCTCTCCCAACTTATTTTTTCTTTTTTTGCTTATATGCTCAAAAAAGTTATAAACAAATAGATCAGTTTAATTTTAGAATTTATAAGTTAATTTGACCAACTTATAAGCTTAGATAAACACCCCCTTAATGTCAACTTTAACCAGGAGTGTTGTGGTATCACAATATCTAATAGCATCACATAATTGACAAGTAATTTCAATGAGAAATACTAGCTTTACAAAGAGAAATACAAAGAGGGACATACAAAGACAAATCCTACCCTTAAAAGAAGGGAAAAAGAGAGAGAGAGAGAGACAATCATAAAGATTAAGGACAAAATTTGTCTTTGTATACCCCTCTTTGTATTTCTCTTTGTAAGGCTAGCATTTCTCAATTTCAATAGCAAAGAATCTACTAAATTTTAAGATGAATAGAACAGGTCCAAACTTAACACTGCCTGGCCTTGAATCTCTTCAGTGAAAAGTCATAATTTGACAAAAAGAAGTGGGAAAATATAGGAGGATTTAACCACAAACGTGGCATTAATTTTTATTTTTTTATATATATTATAGTAGGAGCATGTCATTATCTATATTGAACAAAATGAAAATATTTGTTCAGACGGAGACATTAGCCTCTGAAGTCTAAATCCTGTTCAACTAGAAGCAGCCCTTTGAAACTCAAAGATTTAGGACATGACAGAAGGATTAGAAACAAATACTACTTATATAGTGGAAAGTGGGAAAAAAATTATATCCTGTAGGCAATAGATTTAATCTATTTTCTGGAGCACACAAAAAATCTTCCACCATCTACAGGATTAATTACATTACAAAAATGTTGAATTATTTAGCTAATTGGATGTAACATGACATGATCAAATACATAGAGTCCAAAACCCCATATTTTGGAATGAATTAAGTTCACAGAGATCGGTCCCAAGCAATTTGAATACAATCTAAACGCATTTAATCAATTAAAGTAGATTAAAAATAGACAAGATTTGAAGATTATAAAATATGATTCATTTATATATACACAGAAAATGTGACATCATAGTACAAGTCATATTACACATCTCGGTAAGATTCAAACAGGTTTGATATGAAGTTTCAACATAAAAGAAGAGAATGAAAAATGCTAGGCAATTCAGATCAAAACCATAGCTTTTTTGTGTACCAGTAATTGAAGATACATCAGGTTTGATTCTGCCCCTATTGATCCCAGTAGTTCCTTAGCTGTGACATATGTAAGAGAAGCTCGTCTCTGCCCAAACCAGTGACACTACTGGTCATGATCCAAGGGGGATGCTGCGGGTAGTTTTCTCTTATCAGCTCCTGGAAACTCCTGATATTCTCATCAGGCCTTCTTCCTTTGGCCACCTTCATCTTGTCACATTTTGTGAAAACAAAAGTCATTGGTATCTGAACACAGCAGAAATGCAACAAATTAACATGAGAAAGTTTGATATAAGAATGGTTGAATTAATGAGCTTAAGATTCAGGAGCAGCTTACATTGTTACGTCCAAGCCAATTGGCACAGTCTAGGTCGATCTTCTGAGGTGGAACACTTGCATCAATGAGAAGAAGGACAGCGACCAGAGTTTCTCTATTTTGAAAGTAGCCTTTTGTGAATGAGAACCAATCCATTCGAGCAGCATCTGGAGCTTTAGCAAAACTACAGGCACAAGGAATCCGCCAAATATTAAGTAAAGAACAAATATTTCACGGTCGCATAAAGTTTTGCTTATATGAAGAGAAACGTTCAGCTTCTTAGATTGTTCCATGGTTTAACAAGGTACCAATATCATGCATTAACTTGTAATTAGCTATGCTAAAAGAAATTCTAGGAAAACTGTGAAATCATTAGAGGTTTTTGTGACCTTTCATTTGGCACTTTTCCAGTCAAAGAAGTAAGATTAAACCAAAAATCCCTCTTTAGAAGTGTTAGAAGTTTCAAGAACTTCTGTGCTGAGAATTATAGAGTGAAGTAGGCTGAAAAAGTTTCCACTGAAAATTGATTTGGATTGTACATCTTGGCTGCTCATGGATTACTAAAGGTTCATAAATAGAAGTAAGGAACTAGCTTCTTCAAGCTTTTCAGAGGAAATTACTTGAAGCTTGGCGAGAGAAGTTCAACAATGATAATGGCAATTTAATTGATTTTCTCAATATGATGCTGTGTTTGTTAGAACCATCGCTGATCTTCAGGGCATAAAGGTTGAAGATTGGAGACTTCTAGCTTAAACTATAATCAATATTATTCAGTGTGGGAGAAGGTTTGAAATGAGTTTGACTAAGAGGGGCAAGGAATTTTCCTACCATTTCAGTTCTTAACATGAGAGCAAGATCTTGGAACAGAAAATTAAAAAGCGGCACTGGATACTCTCATTAACAAGACACCACAGAAAGACTTAACAAGACAAAATCAACTAAAGTAAAATGTTAAAAACAACTAAAAACAAAAAAAAAAAAAAAAAAAAAAACCCAAAGTACTAACAAATAAAGTGTAAAGAACTTACCCATAACCAGGCAAATCAACAATATACCAACTTTTGTTCACTAAAAAATGATTTATTAGCTGAGTCTTCCCTGCATAAACATAATTTGATTAAAACCAAAAATTAAATGTAATAAACAAACTAAAAAAAGAATAAACAAAACAAACAAAAACCTGGTTTTTTCGATGTGAGAGCAATTTCTTTTTTGCGAACCAGAGCATTAATAAGCGAGGACTTTCCCACATTGGAGCGACCCACAATTCCAAACTCGGGTCGGTCATCTTTTGGGCAATCCTTGGCTCGACCGCTGCTTTTTACAAACTCCGCTTCCTTAATCTGGGAATGACCCGCATAGGGCCCCACCACGATATTCGACCCAGGCAAAATCATGTCTTCAGTCACCTCGTCCGGGTCGACACCAGGTGGCAGAAAGAGGACGGTCCGTACGAACCGGGCCGTGTCCGACATGGGTTGCGACTGTTTTGTGGTTTTTGAAGCCGTAGTGGTCACATGGGACCTCGGGTTTGGACCCAGCTTGGGGTTTCGGATGGAGCGAGAGAAGTTGACTTTGCAAGAGAGAATAAATGGACATTGTTTAGGGGAGGGAGATAGAGATACAGACGATGCTAAAAGACTGAACAGTCGATTTCGAACGAGCATTTTTTAGGGGTTTTAGGTTTTCCGGTTAAGGGGTTAACTGTTAAGGAGATTAAAGCAATCAAGACAATAACGGTGTCGTTTGAGAGACTTTTGTTTGTGAAAAATCTTTTAATTGGTAATATTTTCAGTCAAGTGAGTTATTTTCATTAAAAAACAGTACTAATCTACAGGGCATCTCATGTACATTAGATAAGAGTTACTTTGGGAGCCTTCTAATACTATAAGGATATATTAAAAAAATTATTTCAAATTTATGTTTCTTGTCTTTTAAGATATAAAATCACCATGAGAGGTAAACGGCCACCGACAAGCTAACGGGGTCAGGTTGGTGAGGGGTTTTGGAGAGCAGATATTGGAGAAATTAGTGATTTCCAATGCCAGGATTGATTGGAAAAGGCTTGAGAAATTATGGCCCAAAAGGTATCGGTGGTTGACGATTGGCGGAGTAAACGGA